TGGTATGAGGGCTACGAGCGGCCACTTGGGCAGCCCAGCTAACGGGCCTGGAGGAGATGGGGGCATCTGCTCGAGACCTCGTACCTGCCAAGCGCTGCTCACGTGCGTTCCTGCTTGCTGCGGTGTCGCGAGCAAAGCGAGGAGTGTGGTCCATCTTGGGAGGACTACGCGGAGTCTGGGGCAGAGGCGTCGCCATGCGATCAGGCATCGGCAGACGTGAGTTGCTCGGCTGGTGACGCAGCGACTTGTTGCTGGCGACATTGCGCGGCACCTTTTCGAATTGCTTCTCTTTGGAAGCTGAAGTAGGCAAGTCATCGAACAGGTCGAGCTCATGGCCGTCGCCAAAGTTTCGCTTGCGCTGAGGCTGTGTCAGCTTCTTTGGGGGTGGATGACGTGCAAGGGCAGAGGGAGCCTGATCACGTCTCACCCCAGCACGACTAGGCGTCTCGATGTGGCCTCCGCCAGACAGGCGCGAGTAGGAGCGCATCGAGGGAGACTGCGGTCGGCGAGGGTCAGAGTCGCGGCGAAGGTGGGCTTGCGAAGTGCTCTTGGACATGACGTGGTGCGATTGGGAAGAGGCCCCGCCAGCAGGGAGGAATGGCATGCGTGGTGGCTGACTAGTGTTGTTGTTGCGAAGGACAGGAGCAGAGCGCTTCGCGCGGAGCAGCTGTGCGCTGGTAGTAGTAGGCATGGTCCGAGTCGAGTTGGAAGTGGACGCGCCGCTTTCGTACACAGGGGTTAGCCTGGTCCGACTCGCGATGGAGGGCAGGGGCCTGGGTATCCGCGAGGTAGTGGGTCTGTCGGTGAAGGTGATGGTAGTAGCGGGACGAGCAGCGTGTGGGGCGGTGGTCTTGGTCGCGGGCTTCTTGACGACAATGTTCTTGTTGAGCGTCAGCTTCTGGCGGTCCAGGATCTCGCCATTGCCAAAATCGAAGCCATCCTCGAAGTCCTCCTCTTGGACCACAGGCTTGGCTTTGGGCGATGGTGCCAGTGCCTTGGGGCTCATAGGCGTGGGGCTGCTGAAGGGGGAAGGAGATAGTGGTGCAGCAATGGGCGATTGGGGCGGCGATTGGAACGGCCTCTGGGTAGGGATCGAGGTGGTTTGTGTGGGCTGCGTCGGCGTGAGGGACTGCTCGCGCAATGGCAGCGGTGGAAGGAGCGATGGCTCTGCGGCTGGTGGTGCTGGTGGTTGCTCGGCCTTCTTGAGCTTGTCGAGACGCGCGCTGAAGTCCATGGGCTCGGTCGGCAGCACGAGGCCGCCCAGGTCGTCGTCTTCGCTCTCCATGGTCATGATGCTGCCCAGGCTGGGGCTCATGGCGGACACAGACGAGCTGCGTGCCCCGCGGGTGCCCTGTCGCGTGCCTGCGAAGCGGATGCCGAGCGAGCCCTCGCCCCAGTCGAAGTCATCGTCCTCTTCCGCCGGCGTGCGTGGCTTGGGCGCCTTCAGCTTCAGTCCTTCCTTCGCGTTTGTGGGCAGCTCGAGATCGTTGCCCCAGTCGTCGTCGACCTCGATCTTCTTGGTCGACTTCTTCTTGCCCAGCCTCTTGATTGAGCCGCCGAGGAGCGCCGACGATGGCACGCTCGTGGGAATGGGGATGCCGGCCTGCTTCGCGGCGGTCTTGATGGCGGAGGTGTTGGTTGCTTGGTCGCCTGGCGTAATCAGGATTTGCCAGTCGTCATTGGATTCGGTCTCGGAGCGGACGCTCATGCGCGAAGAGAGTGAGTGGACGGTCGAGTTCTTGAACAGGAGGCCGTCGGAGCGGTCGTCGAAGTCGCCGTCGTCCCATGTCTCCATCTGGGTCGACTGCGAGGTAATGGAGGCGATGCGCGCCGCGAAGGAGCGGTTGTTGGCCGCCATGCTCGGTGGAGCTGTCGCGCGGGTATCGCAGGTGCGGTGTAAGGTGGGTGTGCAGGATCTTCGCGCGAGGTACTGAGGTGGTTGGGCTGTGGGCCTTGGAGGGTCGTCTGGCACCGCTTGCAGGTTCCTGCAGGGCTACGCGAAGCACAAAGGCGGTAAGTAGACAAAGGCCGGTCTGCAGGCTGGCCCGCACGCTAGGCCACGCGTGTCGGTACGAATAACACACTCGGCACCCCTGCAGCAAGGGCGACGATGACGGCGATGAGTCTGGAAGTACAGCTGTCGTGGGAGCCTACATATGCAGGAACAATGCAACCAGAGACTGCCTATGTATATACCACGCCACATGCCACGCCCTGTATAGCACCCATGTTTGTTTCTGCTCCCCATCAGCGCGACTGGTGCGGATCGCGCTCGATTCGCGTCCCGGGCGGATGCCTGGCATCAACAAACACTAAACCTTCACCCCAGCGGGTGCTGCCTGCGACGGCACCACCCACCTGGACACCACCACCACGCAAGTGACATTACTATCTACATACAAATATAACCTCCCGTGCCTGCCGTCTCAGGTAGACGTGGTTCAGGTTACGGTTTCAATAGATTCCCTACCACGTGAAACGCCCGGTACCTGTTCCTGGACGCTCTCACTATCGCGACTAGCTTCCCTGGCCACACCATCACAAACCTTCCCACTTGGGCTCCCTCCCGCAGTCCCGCCTAGCTTGTGCACACCATCGCCGCGATGTCGAGCCGCTATATTTTGCCAGTCGAGCCTGCGGATGGCCGCGGCGAGACCGTCGTCATCGAAGTGCTGCAGCAGGGCAGCCACCCTCTGGATGTCAGATTGGTGGGCTGCGAGGGCGAAACCCCATATGTGGCTTTGAGTAAGACAGCATCCACAGCACGTCTGTGTTTCGCCATCTGACGCGCCCCAGTCACGCACCGCAATCTCGCCAGTCTCAAGCACAAATTCAAGGGCAGCGACGACGAGTGGGCCGCCGTCGTGTCTCATTTTCTGCTCCAGCAACAGCCCGAAATCGGCCAGACCGACATCTTGGACGGTGTTCGCATGGTCTACACGCTGAAAAACAAGAACCTAGAACTTTCTTTTCGCCAGGACGTTGGGAACATCAAGGTGGGCAGCATTGTGCTCTCCAAGATAAATTCATCTGATGTGTGTAGGTCACGTTGGGTGAGATTGTCCTTCCAGAAGACGATGAGTTTGAGTTCAACCCGTTTGAGTGGGCGCAGGCATCAGCCATGGCGCACGCCAAAACGTTGCAGCAGGTGGTCAACTTGAAAGACCAAGTCAAGAGCGAGCAGCACACCCTCGCCAAACTCAATGCGCAATTGGATGACTTCATCAAAACTAAGAATGACACCGAGACGGCCATGCTCCAGCAGTTCATGCAATTGCTAAACGAGAAGAAGCGGAAGATCCGGGACCAGAGTCGTCTGCTAGCTGGCGCAAAAGTCGACAAGCCCACAGGTTAGTAAGACGTCGTTGTGACGTAGTTTTATATTGACAATATCTAGCGGCGGCCGTTCAGTCGACCCGAGCAGACACCAAGACTCGCAAACCAGATGCATCACGAACGTCGAAGCGCAAGGCTCCCGCACAAGCAGCGGAGCCAGAGGCAACTCCAGATGCAGACAGCGACCAGATGGAAATCGATCAGGCCAAGGTCGAAGAGCAGGATGACGAGGAAATGCCCGAACCCATGACCCCAGAGCAGTCCGACAATGAAACAGACGAGGAGGATGAACCTGCACCACAACCTAGAGGCAGGTCATCCGAGACGCTGAGAGCAAGTTCTGTTGCACAGAGTTCCAAAAGTGAAGCCACGGCAAGCAAGGGTGTACCACCACCTCGAGCACTTCCCTTCCAGAAGAGAACGACGCGAAGTGAAACTGTACAGAAACAGCCCTCTCCAGCTGCAGCAACAGCGGCGGACGACGACGACGATGACGAGACGGACGACGAAGAGCTGTAGGACAAAGGCTGACTATGTTTCACTGCATTAGTTTGGGTGAAACCATCTCTACCAAACTCCTCGAAAGCCGCCGCGTGGTTCCCGTGTTCCTTTTGGCGAGACTTCGGGAGACGACCTGCATCGAGAAACTCTAATTAATGCCATGAAGTACATTTGGTTCGGGAATCAGACTTTGGAATTATCGCCGACACGTGCTTCCTTCTGCCGGTGGTGCAGGTGATGGTGTGAAACGGGATCTGCAACCTCCTTAGTCCAAACATCAATAGTACTAATCTTGACAGAATGCGCGACGTGAAATCTGTCATGACTGAGAGAAGTAAGACATGGCTGGACCCTTTGTAGGTTGTCCCGGTAGCAGCCCGGTGGTCATGTATGTGATGCGATGCACACATGGATACGTGGAGTCGGATCGCGTTGATGTCATCCATGCCGATCATTCGGGACCACTGAATAACAGGGACGTCCCGAGCAGCGGCGTGGAAACAAATCAACGCTTGAAGTGAATAAGACTCGAGTTCCCGCGTGGTGTATACGATTGAAGAACGCTGCCCAAGCTAGATTGTAGTCAAGACGATCTTCGTATTCCAGTGATGTGGTGCCTTCGGAGCAAAGAGCAGCCAATGGACGATGCAGGCCTCTCCGGCGGCAGCCAGGGCTGAAGCGCGCGGGAGAAGCCTCCCGCCAAGCCATGTCCACCTCGACATGTCGCCCTTGACCGCAGCGCTGTCGCAAACACGAGATTGCCGTTTTTCTGGCCTCACGTACCAGGTCGCTGCGCTATCATAGATACGACGCGCGAGCGATGTCCCATTCCCGCCCGATCGACCAGAGGTAGCAGCGCCCGTAGTCTGGGTGAGTGAGAGAGGAGAGCCCGCGCTACCCACATGCGCGCTCGCGTGGGTCTATTGTACTGACGACATGTGAAGAGAAAGCGATTGTCGCCCTGCTATTGTCCACGCGCGTCCCGACTCGATTCCGCCCTCACACCGCGTCCACGGCGCTGCCATAACCCCATCCCCGCTCGAGCGCCTCACCTAATGCTCCTCCACCTCCACACGTCGTTCCACTGCACCTACCGCCGTCGGCCCGCGACACCGCTGCTACACGCGACCGACTGCACCCGCGAGACCCTGAGGTAACACGCCATGTCGGGCCCAGGCCAATCTGAGCCCATCGTGGATACGACGCGATCCCTCAAGCGCAAGCAGCTTTCCACCGACGACCAAGGCGAGCTCGACGCCCTCGACAGCATCTTCAAGCGCATAAAGACGGCGGTCCCGCGCACACCATACATACTTTCCACGCCATCCTTACATCCGTACCGGTACTACTCACAACAACAAGCCAACGCCTGGAAATTGGGAAGGCTATTCAAGTCGGAGGAGGAGCACTTGCAGTACAGGACATATCTCTATCGCGAGCCGTGTCAGGATTGCTTCGAGCTGCAGGCGGGAGAAGACGACGAGCCTGAGCCTGAACCGCCACGCTCCCATGTCGCGAATGGCCAGCCAGCGAAGAAGAAACCCAACCTCTCAGCCTTCAAGGTCAAACAAGCGAACGGTCCCAACACTCCCAGCGTCAAGATCAGCTCGCCCAGCTCTGTGCCGGATAAGAAACAGGCGAATGGGGCCAGCAAGCCTGAAAAGCTGTCTGCGCCGTCCCAAAAGACCGAGCCCAAGTCGCCGAAGTCGTGGGTACACCGCTCTATACTTTGTTCGATTACTGACAGTAGCAGATCCTCTGGTACTACACGCGACGAGCATCCCATCCGGAAAGCCGACAGAGGCGCCCCTTCTTCAAATCGGCCGCGAGCCCCTTCCACAACCAAGAGCGAGACAACCAGTTCCAAGGGCAAGATCGAGAAGTCGGACCCCTCCAACTCAACACCACACGGCCTACCTCCGCTGCTTTCGCCAGTACACGAACCAATGGGCAACCCATACGGACTCCCGAATATCTTATCTCCCACCCTCCCGTCCAACATACAGGCCGAGCTCGACAGAATGGAAGTACAGCGGAAGCGCACAGATTCCGACGCATCTGTGTCATCATCAGATCGCAAGAGTCAGACACTTGCTGTGCCACCCAGCGGATCTCAACAGTCCAACGGTACACCAAAGTCAGAGAACCGAGCGCGCTCAGTTTCCATCAACGGCAACGGCAAATCGCCCAACCCCGAACCAGTCAGTCAAGTCGAACAAACAGATTCTAGTATGGTAGTTAAGCTGAAATTCTCAAAGACCAAGGCGCCTGTCGTTGGCCAGATTCTCCGCCTACCATCGAAACGAGCGAATGCCGAGAAGAAGGAGCGCAACGATACCTCCAAGGCGACTCATATGGCAGACACGCAGCCCAAGGTCACGGATCCGCCTGTCATTAAGAAGAAGGCAATTCCCAAGGTCGCTGCACGACAGACTACAACGCCATCAAAGGTTGCAGAGAAGCGGCCGCGTGCGGAAGAGGAGACGACATTGGCGGTACCGCCCACTAAGCGACCCAGAGCAGGCTCAACCCAAGACCGGCCCATTACCCCTCTCCAAAACAGCCAGACGCAATACGCAACCCCTAAGAAGGACCTCAAGTCAGTCAACATGTTACGAACTCAGTCTTCCGAGAGCAATGACGCAACGCCCGGTCGGTCTGGCGCAACCCCAGCCGGCGCGAAACCTACATCTGCTCCTCTTAACAACAAGAAGCAGGCAGACATCTCGCTGCTAGGGCATACGTCGGCACGGTGGAACCAAATGGGTAGAGCCCTTAAGCATGAAGCCACCAAGATCCTCACCAGCGGCAAGATTTCGAAACAGGACGAAAAGAGGGCCGCAGTTACTAACCTTGAGTGTATCCTGTAAGACCAATACCCAGCGCTCAACTGTACATTTATGAACCCCACTAACACCCCCCAGCGCCTACATGGCCGCCTACTTCGCCCAAGACCTCTCCCTCCACATGCGCGGCCGCCCCGGCGAAGTAGAACAAACCTGGAAAACGCTCCTCCCCCTCTGCCTCTCCTACTCGCGCAGCACAAAAGACCTCCAACACCTCGACGGCCTCCGCTCCTATCTCAGCTCAGTAATCGCCGCCGCAATCTGCACACACGTCTCCCAGCGCTGCAACAACCCAAAGTCGCACGACTCGCCGCAAGATGGTACGGGTCATAGTGGTGTTAATACGGCTGAAGCGTCGCGCCAGCATAACTCGCTCGCGGAAAACTTTGCACTCCTGTCTGATCACACGATTAAAATGCATCGTCACTACCAAGACGCGCGGATTGCGCTGCCGATTGAGGATCTCCAATCGTTGTATAAGAAGACGTATGCAGCAAGGGAGTCGAATGCGAGACTAGCCCGCGAACCGGAGAAACTGAGCGGCGCCAAGATGTCAGGCCCGTACTTTTTGCCGCTGGGCGCTGATACCACGCCCATCCAGGCGGTGCGGTTTGGACTGAGGTTTCTGGCTGAGTATTGCGAGATTGAGGGGTTGAAGTATGGTTTGAGGGTTAATCTTGAGAGGCCTGAGTAGGAGATGAAGAGGCGGTTTTTGTGAAAAAGGTGGATATCAATCGTGTTGCTGAGCGTTCATCCTCACATCTGCATGCACGCAGACACACATCGACATCCCTTCCCTTGTTGGCGTTTTTATCATTGCACTTGTTTACTTTAGCGGGTGGCTTTTCATTTGGTTGATTTGAAAGCAAATTCTGATACCCCATGAGGTTGGACTGGACCTTTTTGTTCCTCTCCCTTCTTCTTCTTCCTTCTTGTCACTGGATTGGGATTCTGTATACATAATGGAATGGGGAACTGTTGGGCGTACTGGAGTTGCTACATGAGCAGGTGAGGGGATGAGACGAGGAAAAAGTACCATTCATACTGTATTGTATGAATTCATGAAGCCAAAATCGATAATGTCATGATATCCTAGTTTCTCAATGTGCGATGGCGTGAAGCTATATTGGTTTGTGGAACGAGATGGCTTTTGAGAAGATTCTAATTACTGCAGGATATGTGTAGTGGATTATCAGCGCTCTGGTACTTATAGCGAGAGGTCAGTCTGTTAGACAGTATATTATACTTGCGATTTCTCTTATTCGTAAGAGCATCTTTTCGTCTAAGTTGTCGATGTTGCAGAAGTTGTGAGTGGCTTATCTCGCTCTGCGTCATCGCAGTACCATGGGGTAAAGTGGATAGCGACCAGAATATTGCATCGCACACAGGTCAGTCCGTGGGACGAAATCTGGTCCCATCACATCCGATGATGGTACCGCGATGACCCATAAAAGACGAGCCACTCACGACTCCCGCAATACACAGGACACACACGATAACTGATTCCGCCCATTAAATATTGGAAGGGATGAGAAAGAGATTAGTCCCTTGGTTAGAAAGCGCCACAAGGGGCGGTCCTGGGGCACAGCACCACGTATAAAGTACAAGAAGACCACCTTTTCTCAACAACTTGGATCAAACATACTACAAAATTTATCCTGACACAGTACGCGACATGGTAGGTGCATGCCTTCGGGCTGGAGTATAATACTCAACGAAACAAGCTTAATCGTAGCATCGGCACAACAATCTCTAAACCATTCCGCATTTTATCGTACACTCGCATTACCACTACAAACGCCAAATCCTCTCATTTTCCACATCCACCGCCGCCTCTCTCAATCATAAGCTCCATCATCCACCTTCCACACATCCGATCAGGTTTACGACCTAACATCAACCCCCATATCCACAAAATTGCCTAGATAACTAGGACTTTTACACAATCGAAACGCCCAACTTCAATGGGACTTACATACATAAACACAGTAGTATTTGCGCACCGCTAAAGAATGAGAAGGTAAAAGAACACGCTTCATCAAACTCGCCATACGCAATTCAGAGACACAAAGAAATGAGCCGCCACAGGCTAAAGGGGGGTATCATGCATGAAAATGCTCACAGTATCCGCCGGTCAAAAAACGCCAGGTCGATGCGCACTTTTGTTCGGGCCGGGGGGTGGTAACACAGTAGTAAAAGGGTTGACAAGGGCCCAGGGCCCAGAAAAGAATGTTGTCGGACTTTGTGTACGTTCACTGGGCAGAGGCGCGGTAGCTTACTGCTTGCTCTTGCCCTTGCCTTTGGAGTTGCTGGGTTCACCGTTGGTAGAGGGCTGGCCGTGGGCGGGGAGGTAATAGTCCCATTCCAATCTCAGCGGGGCGACAGGAAGGTTCTGGTTCAGGCTCTCGACGACTTGTTGGAGTTGCGAGAGGACTACGAAAGCGGTACCGATCAAGCCGAAGAACTCGCTGTTGGGCTCAATGTATGTCTTGACCGTGTTGTCGTAAGCTTCTCGCAACTCGGCGGCCGCCGTGTTGATGTCGGCAAGCTGGTCATAGATCCCTTGCTTTGCGGTGTCATGGTCACTTGAGACTCGTTTCACCTCGTTGTTGTACTTCGCTGTATCCTGTCGTAGAGCTGTGATCTTGCCCTCAACCATGCCGAAAGATGATTTCAAGTTCTCCTCGAATTCTGTACGTGCTTTCTTCTCAGAGGCAAGCTTGCCCACCACGACACGCTTGAAGTTATCGAAGGGGACATTGTCTGGGGTAGGCGCTCGGGCAGGTGTCTGAGACAGCTCCTTGATAGACTTTTGGAGATTTCCCTCCGTAGTGTCGCGCTTGCTGCAGTCGGTGTCGAATGCTGAACGCAGGTTTTGAATGGCCTCGGAATTTGCTGTTTGAGTGTCGCTGATCTCGGATTGGAAGGCTCGCAGTGTACCCTCCAATGCAGTCACTACGTCAGCTTTTGCGAAAGTGGCCCTGTCCACATCCATTGCTTGCTTCAGGTCTTGAATAGATTTCCTGATCTTGCCCACATCGATCGCTTGCCTCAGGTCTTGGATGGACTTTCTGGTCTTAGCCTGCTCGTCAACGCGTGTGGTACGTTCAGCGTCGATGGCAGTGCGAAGGTCTCCTGTGCTGGTCAAGCGTTCTTGCTTTTCTTGACCTATTTGGGTCTGCAGTGTCTTGACAGTTGCCTGCAGGGCGTCAAGAGCCTCCGCTTTGACGAAGGGTGATGTGGCCGAGTGCAGATTCCGCAAAGAAATTTGTAATCCAGACACTGAGCCCTTGATGTTCTCGATCGTCTTGATCTGCTCGTTAAGCTGTTGCTCAATCTGGTCGGCCCTGTCGCTCGCGGTTTTTGCATCAGATCTAGCTTGCTCGGCCTTGTCGCTCGCGGCTTTTGCATCAGAGCTGGCTTGCTCGGCCTTGCTAGCTGCACGCATAACCTCCTCAGCCTTGTCGCTCGCGGTTCTTGCATCAGAACTGGCTTGCTCGGCCTTGGTAGCTGCACGCATGGCCTCCTCAGCCTTGTCGCTCGCGGCTCTTGCATCAGAGCTGGCTTGATCGGCCTTGTCGCTCGCGGTTTGTGCATCAGAGCTGGCTTGCTCGGCCTTACTAGCTGCACGCATTGCCTCCTCAGCCTTGGAGATTGCCAGGCTGGCATTAGAGCTAGCTTGATCAATTTTGGTCAACGCACTCGACATCTCGCCATGAGCCTGCATAGCGGACTGGAGTTGAGCAGCGTCGGTGACAACTTGTTTCAACTGCGGACTCATGTTGGCAATTTCGTGCAAGTGCGGAGCGATGTTCACAAGATTATGCAGTTGAGTAGCGTCCTGGTCTAGGCGGTCGAGAAGGTTCGCGCGACCCTGTATCCATCTCTGCATTTGGTGGATGTCTTCCTGGAGTCGTGGCAGACCGGGGTACATTTCGGTAAACCAGCGAACCATGCCCTGATACATGGTGTCGGTGCTGATGTTCTCGTATCGGCTCTCTATATTGCGCATCGCGAAGCCGAAAGTATCCAGGTCTTTCTCCACCGATGCAGAGTCGGCCTTGGTCGACAGAGACGATCGCAGAGTCGCAAAGTCGGTCCTCAATGACGTTACTTCTGCCAACATGGTATTGAGCTGAGCTTGTTGGGCTTGGCCGAAGCCATTCTGTTGTGTAGGCGACTTCGATACTTGTTCCATCAAAGCTGATAGATTGCGGGCATGGGTTTCCATTGTGGCAGTGACGGTACTGAGCTGCTCTTCAACCTTGCGCTTGAGTGGGTCGAATTGTTCGTTGAAGAGGGTGGGGGCGACCTCCTGTACAGCCGAGATAGTGGCATTTGCAGTCTCGAGTTTCTCGAACAGCGTTTCAATATCCTCTGTGATGGTGTTGAGATCGCTCATCTCGGACGGCGCTGTTCTCGCATCAGCTGACGACGCCGCGAAATCGGGTTCACGTGATCGATTGCGGAGAGCTTGCATCGCTTCCATACGAGTTTCCGTTAGTTTGCGAAGATCCGAAATCTCTTGGGAGAGGCGGGTGTTCACTTCCTCGACATCCCTGTCGATAGCCTTGCGCTCGCTCGTTATCAGAGCTTTGACCTTCTTTTCTGCTGCCTTTTCCAGCGTCTTGACTGAGGTCTTGTCCATGGTCGTCTCTATTGTCTCCACACTCTGCTCCACACTGTCGAGCGGTCGAGCGCTGGCCAGAGTGGCTTCCATGCTGTTCAGACGCTCGAAGATTGCCTGAGCCTGGGTCGTCAAGCCACCGGTGCCTTCCACAACTTTGCGAAGCTCTTGCAGCGATTTCTTGAGATTTGAGACCTCGGTGTCTGCATTGGTCACAGGTGGAGTGATTGGAGCAGGAGGATAAGTCGCAACAGTTGTCCCGACCTTCTTAAAGTGAGGACCCCGTGGAGCTTTTTCGAGTTCATCGACGCGACCCAGAAGCTTCTCTGACAGACGTGCAGATTTATCCAGCTCACTAAGGCGAGCAGGGAGCCTTCCCAACTCGGCTTGGGTTACAGTGCCCTGCAGGTTCGCGATCCTTTGCGACAGGGTAAAGTTTGTCTTCTCGTAGTCCCCCTTGATAGGTCCAATGTACTTAAGGATGTCTTTCTCAAGATCGTCGAATTCTCCTTGGAGGCCGCTGAGATCCTTTTGTGTACTCTTTGTCTTTTCCTTCAGGCCCCTTGATTCTTCCCGCAGGTCCTTCAGGCCCGCTCGCACAATCTCCACTTCCTCTCTGTCTTCGCTGAGCGCATCGCGGTATTTATCCACTCTGTTTCTGAGCTTCTCTACCTTCTCTGCCAACTCCTTCAGTCTGTCGACACGGTCTGGGTTGAACTCGTCTTCTAGGTCCTCTATCTGCTTCTGCAAACGGTTGGCCTTTGCGTACGTCCTGTCGCCGTTTGCCTCAACATCCTTAATCTTGTCGCTCAAAGCGTTGAGTTGATCAGAGAGGTTCTTACTCTCAACGGTCTCTTTGAAAGTCTGGAAGGTGAGAATCAAGTCCTGGTGGTTGGTGATGCGTTCGGAAAGCCGGCTGTTCACATCCTTGATTTTGTCGTTTAGGTTGTTGGCTGTTGCTCTGGTCTCGGCCGTGATAAGCTCTCTGACAGTGTGTTCGGATAGTGGTGTAGGCTGCGCGTTTTTCCACGTCTTCAGACTTTCAATCTCAGTCTTCTGTAGTGCTG